CCTCCCCTCTCTCTCTCACCCACTTCTCTTCCTCCCCTCTCTACCCCTCTCTTTCTTCCTCCCCTCTCTCTCTCACCCACTTCTCTTCCTCCCCTCTCTACCCCTCTCTCTCTTCCTCCCCTCTCTCTCTCACCCACTTCTCTTCCTCCCCTCTCTACCCCTCTCTCTCTTCCTCCCCTCTCTCTCTCACCCACTTCTCTTCCTCCCCTCTCTACCCCTCTCTCTCTTCCTCCCCTCTCTCTGTCACCCACTTCTCTTCCTCCCCTCTCTACTCCTCTCTCTCTTCCTCCCCTCTCTTTCTCACCCACTTCTCTTCCTCCCCCCTCTCCCCCTCTCTCTCTTCCTCCCCTCTCTCCCCCTCTCTCTCTCACCCTCCTCTCTCTCTCTCTGCAGGCAAGCATCGTGCGGAACCAGAAGGACACGGCGCACACGAAGGCCGAGCGAAACATCCTCGAGGCCGTCAAGCATCCGTTCATCGTCAGCCTCATCTACGCGTTTCAGACGGGCGGGAAGCTCTACCTGATCCTCGAGTACCTCTCCGGCGGAGAGCTGTTCATGCACCTCGAGCGCGAGGGCATCTTCATGGAGGACACGGCGTGGTGAGCGAGCGAGCGAGGCAGGCGTCTCGGTGCGTGTCTCGGCGGGGTGTGCTCTTGCGTTCGGCCGTCTGCGGCACGTGTCTGCGTTCACGTCTCGGGCACGTGTCTCGGTCTTTGCGTCTCGGTGGCACGTGTCTCGGTTTACGTCTCGCAGCGTGATCTCTGGTTTGCGTCTCGGCACGTGTCTCGGTTACGTCTTGGCCCCCGAGCGTGTCCTCCCGTTGCGCGTCTCGGTCTTGCGGCCTCAGCCCAGCGATCAGGTCCCGGCGCGCCACGTCCGCCCTCGGATTGGCGCGCCCGACTGTCGCGCGGGACATCAAAAGCGCCGAATATCTCGTCTAACTCCGGTCCTTTAGACGGAGCAGTACCTCCCCGAGCCCTCCCAGTTGCCCCGCGTCCCCGGTTCCTAGTCCGCTGAAGCATGGCAATAGTTTAGTCCCTATAGTCACGTTGTCTGTTTCTCTCTCGTCTCTCTCTCTAGACAGTTTTCGTATCTCGCTGCGAGATCACCGGCTGGCGGTTGGAGCATCTAACACTCGCAGGGCATCATCTATCGCGATCTGGCAAGCCGCAAAAGCATTCTCCCTCCACGTCAGGGAGCCGCGCCGAGGCCCCCCGCCACGCCCGTCGTCGGGGGCCGTAATTTTGAATTACAGTGGCATCTTTTGTGGTACAGTCCTGCGCGGCGTATGATTGTCGATTCCACCCAAAACCATCGCTTTCTTCCGACACCCACCCCCACTGCTCTTAGAAAAAACATTGTCTCCACGCAATTTATCACTTGATCTGACAAAAAAAACAGCCCCCGCCCCTAGTGGCAACGATAAACAACAACGCCCGACGCCACGCGGCGAACACTCGCGCACTGCTCGTCTCCCTTTCCTTTCGACCGTACGTGTCGGGGTATAGCTCGTGCCCCCAGGACGGAAATTGCGTGCGATTGATCATGCATACAACATCTTGCCCGTGGACGTGCGTGTGGTTCACATTCATCTGATTCAAGTCGGGCACGTTTTATACCCCGCAAACACGGTCCGGAATGGGAATGGAGTGAGGATGAGTTGGGTTTTTGGTCCGTGGATGCAGTGTTTTTCTCGTTGTTTCCCCTTGTTTTTTTCGTTGGGCCCACTGATGTCTGTTTTTTAAGATCAGTGTAAATTCGTGAAGCAAAAAGTTTTTTCGGATTGCGGGTGTTCGAACTATGTTTGAGTGGAATTGATGCTCAGCTACCAGGCTTTCATGGTCAGGAATTCATATCTGGTTTTATATCAGGATTCATAATCAAAGTAAACGCAGTATATGTACTACGAGCATCCAATTTTATATATCAAAATATTCTTGGGTGCCCGCCTCGCCAACCCCCTCCTACGGGGAGGGATGCTTTCTCATTCCCATGTAAAATCAGTCGCATGTTTATTTGCATTGAATCCTCAAGTCACTAAACAGATTCATTGATATCATCATGATTATATTGATGTCATCATCAGCTCGGATACATTACTAGACCCCTGCTGAGTATCTGCTCGCGTAAGCCTATTCGTCGCGCTCGTCTGACGGCAGGCAGTTTTGATTACGCATCGCAGCGCACACGCCTTGCCCGACGCTGTGCTGTGTCTCTGTGGGGGAGGTGTAACACAAGTGTGGCTACGGGTTCTTCTCTCTGCCTTCCGCACAGGTCACGTGACAACTGACGTGGCGAGGACTTTGGCCCTATGCAAGGATCGATCATGGAGAACACCTCCTCGACGGGCACACGTTCCTGCAGGCAATCAAAGACTCCAGTATAGTTCGTGTGGTGTGTTCGTTTGTGCGTCGTATGTTGCTATGTATAGTATATGTGTGTGTTTGTGTGCGTGCGTTGCGTGCGTGGCGTGCGTGCGTCGCTCGTGTTTGTATGCGTGTGTGTCGTGTGCTATCTGCGCCGTCGTGCCATGTCTCTCCCGCGTCTCGCGTGCCGGTGCGGGCGTGGTGTGTGTACGCGCGTCGTGCACTCGTCCGTCGCGTCGCGTGCGTCCGCGTGTGCATCTCGCTCCCGCGGCGTGCCGTCGCGTGCCATGGTCATATGCACTTACCGGCATACTAATTACCCTACTGCATAAATAGTAATGGGATTAGCGTAGCACTCGCACATCATCAATCCATGTGATTCTATTCCAGACACGCAGGACGACTCCTCAATTTGACAAATGCCTTCGGATACCGGGTTCAAGGCTTAA